TATAAGGAGATATTCCGTACCCCACTCGGGCGCCAGTACTTCACTGTTCTGGTTTTACGGAACCTCATGCAAGACTCCTGTTGCACGTCCCCGTCGTGCGCTACGGATAATGTCTCAAATGAGCATTAACAGAGTTGGCAGGGGATCTCGGAGATGGCGGCCCCCAGAGGTGTAGAGTCCTTTCTGGCTCTCACCAGCCGGCCCAAAACGCATGGGTGAAAAGTAACAAAACTCAAGGACTGCTTGCTAAATGTACCATCAAATGACAACTCTTGGTTAAAATTAGGGAGCGAATGGAAAACTGTGCTGCTGAGACTCCACCCTGACCGAGAGATTTAGCCGCAGCCAAGACGAGTAACATCTCTTGTGGGCAACTTCTCGCAGCAAGATCCCACCTACGTACATCCTCTGTCAATCCTCAGTGTCGTCGTCACCGCGCTGAGGTACACAAGGGCAGCAACTATTCATATGCTGGCTTGAAAACAATGTCCGACAAAGTTACACCCCACGGCACACATGCAAGCTCAAAGTCCGACGATCATAACTCGTACCGATTAGGAAAAGTCTGAATGTCCGTATCCACTGGTCCAACTCGCCCGAGTGTTGGGACCAAACAGGTGAAGCGAAGCCACGCCTGACGCATTTTACTTCCCCATTTTGTCGTGCTAAGGGCACAGCTGAAACAACGTTAAAGGTGTCTAACGTAAGATGAAAAAGAATGTACCTATTTGTGTGGCCACAAACGTCCTAGACCTGCGGACTGATCTCCGGAGAGCGCAGCCTTGTAGCGCGGGAAGCTCAATACACGGTTGTGAGGTTAAGCAGTCATGGGCAGGACGTGACGATTCCTTGGGTGAGCCCAGAACCAGAGCATCATGTGTCGGCTCTGCATTTATGGAAGCCTCCTTGGATGGCGGGGAATGCCCATGATCTGCCCCTGCCTTCCCTTGAGGGCTGAAAACTCTACATAGAGCTGCCTTAAGGACGACATGCCGGGGGCCACACTTGTTAAAAGTCAAAGAGGACACCACACAAATAAGGCAACATCTCGACCCACACAAAACAATGGCCACAGTCAACCTAGAAATAGGCTTGACGTCTTCCTCCGAAGTCGGAGTACATCTGCCTGAGAGGCGTGGAACGAGTACTGCAAACAAATAAGCCAGTAAAACGGATGTACACGCAAAACTCAGGTCAAGGTAAAAGCCAAAAGTCCATTTTGGACGAACAACCGTTACTTACCGCCGGAATTCACAGCCGGTGAACAAGAAGAAGAAGAAGATTGATTAATTGATGACAGTAATATTCTGCAACCGTTTACATTATTATATTAAGTGCACAATGTAGACGAAACTGTTTTCGAACGACTTGTTTCCTATCACGTGATCTGAAGTCCTTTTCTTACCGCAAACACAAGAAAGCCACTTTCCTTTTAAGTCCACGTTGATCAAGATGTCGGCGGTAAGACTAAGATCTCGTGGTCTTTTCAGTGTTACTGTTACGTTTATTGTATCGACATGGGAAAAAATACGCACAGACGGCAACAAATGTTTCACAGACGTCCAGAACAGCTTTGTTAACAGACTATTTTTCAGACTCAATGAAAGAATAATAGGAAACCTAACTAATGATCTTCTTATAAAATCAACGATCCATTTCATGCCATGCGGGTTACCCGGTCCCGTTAGTTACAGTACACCATAGCTGTTTATTAAATATTATTATACATCTTTGTATGTATGTGTGTGTGTATATATATATATATATATATATATATATATATATTGTTTCATTCTTAATGTAATACGTTATTATTAATTTGTTTAGCTCTCCTCCGAACTTCTACCCGAAATTAATAAAATTATGGCGGCCAAGCAAATAGCCTAACAGGGCCTCAGTCGTGTGTAAAATGCAGACTTCCTGCCAAGGAACAAATCGCGGCAAAACTAGGATAGGCTCTGAATAACGAAACGAATGTTTGAACAGGGTCTCAGCGATATGTTAACCCTTTTAGCACGGGAAGTTTTTCAGAGGTCTAGCCAAAAACACGGAGCATTTTTTCAGTGAATTTGGTTATTACTTTATTTAATTTTTTTTGACAGATTTCTGTTATTCTGACCCCTATGAAATAATATATCTATTTGAAGGATATAGATTGAAGTTCGTGATTTTCACAATATCGTTAAAATTAATTGATGTATAATATCTAAAAATAGAAAATATGAATTTGAATTTTCAACTTCAATGCTTGAAACATAAAACTAAAAACAAAAATTTTTTTTATTTGAAATCTTTTTATTGATCTTTGGCCTTTTTACAAATGTTGTAAGCAATTCAATAGTCAAAAAACAGGTATATATATGTGAAACAGCAATATCTTTACGTGACTTGTGTTTTTCACCATCAGTCAGCACTAGAAATGGATGTGCCGGAGTGTCAACACCTTCGTGGGGATATACCCTGAGCTATGGTTGGGCTGTGGTCTGAACACAACAGCGTCCTCATCTGATTCTCACTATTACTACTAACACTAAATCCTGCATCAGTATCAACAGAATTAGTGTCATCACCTGATTCAAATGTTTTATCAACATCAAGTTTAGGGGCAGAAACATACGAGTCAGACATACTTTTAGCGGTTCAGGTCACTATCTTAAAAATTCAATAACAATTTTCACTTCGATACAAAACACCGAAAGTCGCCATGTGTAAAGCTGATACCGCAGTTAATATAAATGAATCACTTTCAGTGTTTCAAAGTAGGAAATTTCTTAGCGGTTCGAGGCGAAACACGATCGGGCCGATCATCGGCCGTTTCGTGTTTTTGGCCAGACATCCGCCGGCCGATAATCGGCCCGTCCGTGCTAAGAGGGTTAATTGCGGACCTGTTTCTGCGACTATGCTGCACCACTGACTGGATGAAGGCTAAACTAGATTGCTAGGACTCACGAGCAGTAGCTACCGCATCTCCTGCAACTTCCTCTAATTTATTTTACCCGCATTGCCTCATTCTGTACGCATCCAAATTTTATCAGCTGACTTTTTGGCTATCCTCCGAATAACGGTCCTAAATTATTGGGGCTGAAAATATACCCTAACAGAGCCCCAGTCAATTGCGCACTTCCATCGTCTTAAATTGCGCGCTTCCGGCGACTTCCGCCACCGCCGAGAGTATCCCCCACGCCGCTCACGCAGTGTGGATTAGGGCTGAACTAGATGGCTAGGGCTCACAAGCAGCAGCTAACGCATCTCCTGCATCTTCCTTCATTTTATTTGCTCGTTAGTCCTAGCCATCTAGTTTAGCGCTAATCCACGCCAGTGAGCGGCGTGGGGGATACTCGAGGCAGAAGTTTGCAATTTGGCAGTGGCGTTATTGTCCCGGAAGTGCGCAATTGACACGTGACTGAGGCCCTGTTAGAGTATATTTTCCGCCTCGATAATTTAGTACCGTTATTCGGAGGATAGCCGACTCATTCATATAGTCGACAGGATCACACACTGGAACATTGTGAACAGCGTTTTTTGTTCCATGTTCATTGCTGCCATAATTTTTAGAGCATTGTCTTTTTTTTGGAATTTCACTGCAATTGCCTCCACATAAATCCTAAAGGACAAGCTTCTAAAGAAAATGATACCCACCATACCTCAGTTTGCTTTCTCTTTTGATGTTATTGCTAATTGTGAGGCTTGCAAGATTAGCTCTTAAAATTCTATTGTCCAAAGAGCACCACAGAACAGCTGCTTTTTTTGAGTTGACAGCACACTAGTCAGTCACTTTACAGTTGCCTACAGCTCTTGGGCTATCCATTGCATATTACTCCCCTTCCTTTATGCAAAAACATCAGCAAATGTCAAATCCTATCCAACACCTGGTGCCTCAAGTTCGACAATCTTGCTTGTATACACATTAAAGGGCACCGGTGACATTGCAGAACCCTGGGGTAGTCCCGGGGCGATGTTAGATTGTTCTGAGGTCCATGTACCCAGGCAAAGTGCAACCATTAGTGAATGCAAGACAGCTGCTATCCAGTTCACAAGCCAGGGACAAACCTACTTCTCCATGAGTGCAGAAATTAAAATCTGATGCTGTTGTAGGCATCCTCAAGATCAAGTGCAGCCAGTACCATCTCCTGTCTGTTCTGGAGCCTCTCATATAATCACAAGAAAAAGTAACTGCATTTGACCAGGTATCTTTCAGTGGCCGGTAACTACCCAAACTTTTTGCCAGGTGTTCTTCCCTTTCCAAAAACATTTGTAGTTTAACAGCAATAATCTTCTCTAGCACCTTGCCAAAAGTGTTTTGTAGGGTGATAATCCTGAAACCGCTATGTCCTAAATAGTCCTTGCCTGGTCTTTTTCTGATTATCTCGAACTGAATTTCTAAGCTCCCTATCATTATGATCAATTTGGGTTATAAATCTCTTAAAAAATGTTTTCTTTAGCTCCTTGTCTCTTGTCATTGGCATAACATTATCGGTGTAAAAAATGACAGTTGTCATAGGCCGATTTGTCCTTTGCATCTGTCTGAAGTTTCTCAAACCTGCGCAGTGAATTATCCCCTCCAGTTTTGTTCATGATACCAATGGTCATCATTTTCTCTGTCATTGATATTATATTTTCTTATTTAATTGGATGTCCCTTGAAAGAATTATTGAGTCAAGTATATTAATGAAAGTGTATATATATATTTATATATGCACTCGCCTGCAGATCGGAATGCGTCTTGTGTTGAGTCTTGATGGAGCCAGAGTTTTGTGACCTCATCAATTGCTGATTGGTCTATAAAATATTATATAGGTCTAGCCCTATATGCCCAGTTCAATTAAAGGCCTGGCAAATAGTCCTACTATGACCTTCTGTTTTGTATCTTTCTTCTAATAAATTATGATTAATTAATAATTGCTGACACAATTTATTTACTTTGAATTAAGAGTTGTAAGTCTGCTGTTTGTGTATTGGTTTGAATAGCAGCAATCTAATGATCTGTTCACTGTTGACAGAAAGCAGTGAAACGTGTTGGCAAATCACAAAGTGGAAAAGGAGGAAAGAGGAAGAAGATCACGTTGAAGTACAGCATTGACTGCACACACCCTGTGGAAGATGGCATTATGGATGTGGCCAACTTTGTAAGCCTTGCATTTGTTCTTGAAATATGACAGCAATTTATGTTTATTTTCACCATTTTTCACAGAATTGATTTTTGAAATATATACGTTTTGAGAGTGAATTTGATTTGTGATTACCTGCTACAGTGACCCATTGCTACTTTTGTGCAGTGTCTGTTTAAAACATTCACTTTAAGCCCTAAGCAACACCTATGTGTTGTTGGCCCCTTGCTGTGTTATAATCCAGCCATGATTTGGTCGGCACATACTTCAGAAATCTGGATTATTTGGTAGTCATATTTGTACAAATGTTTCAGGAAATGAAGATGTGAATACATTGCTGTTTTAGTTTACAGCATGCATCTTTATTTCCTATACAGCATTGTAGCACCATTTTTGTGACTTATGATTATTGGTGCGAAATCATCCCTCTGCTGCCATTGGTCTCGCTCATTTGAGTGTGTCAAGACCAAAAGTACAATTGACAAATTGTCCTACTTACAGAAAAACAAGGTTTAGATGTCGGACGATAATTTGTGTATGGATTGATAGAATTAAAGGTTCTAATGTCCGCTGCTATGGTCCCTACTTGCCTGACGCATGCTTCCATATATAGTTGTGCTGAGTGTTCCAATGCAAGAACATTGTTGGTGTCTAGTGTGCTGAACAAGACTGCCTATTTGTATGGTCATCGTAGTCCCTTACCTGAGGGCTGCTCCCTTTTGATCCCTAAAGGGTGACGAATTGGAAGCTCAATACGGATGTGGCGTCAAGTAGTCCGATTTCTTGAGTGAGCTAACCTGACGATCAAATGCTCAGTGAAGTTGGATATGTTGACCGAAAGGCACACAAATCGCAGCTATGCTGTGAACAGGCACAACACAGTTTTGACAAACAATGTTGAAGAAGAATTAACTACTTTTAGCATTTTAACAGTTTCAGCAAATCCCTGATAAGTAGCCATTTGCAACACATCATGCTTGCCTTCCCCACCCCACTTCCTCTCCATGAGTCTTGAGACTCACAAGAGGAGAGAGGTTGTAGGGACATTTCTCTCTGTCCAGTATGCAAGTATCTCTAAGGGTACTGTTGCAGGGCTCTTCTTCATTTCTGATAAAAAAATAGACTTACACTAAGACCAGTGCTGAAAATTTACGAGGAAACCTATGGTGAGAAATTCATTAAGGCACCCTGTTACTCTGGACAAAAGATTGGGAGGATGTAGATTACGCTTTGCAAGATAGCACATATAGCAAGAGGACGAAAATGGCTGTTTACCGCTCTACCTATGTACCAGTCCTGACCTATGGGTGTGAGTCATGGGCAATGACAACAGCTCACAGAAGCCAGCTGCAGGCCTCGGAAATGAGATACCTGAGAAAGGTGGTCCAAGTGACAAGAAGGGACAAAGTCCGCATCAGACAATACGTCAAGATCTTGATACCCAGCCCTTACTAACCCGAGTAGATCAGTCACAGTTACGATGGTTTGGACATGTATGCAGAATGGGAGAAAATCGGCCACCATGGCAAGCATGGGAGGCTAAGAACCAGGGAACCAGACCTCCGGGACGACCCAGGATGCGCTGGGTAGACAACATCCGACAGTCCCTAACTGACAGAGGACTGGAATGGAACAAAGCCAGAAAGAAAACTGCTGATAGAGACGTCTGGCGATCTCTCTGGCAAACCTCTACACCCCAAGGTAGAAGAGGAGCGACTAAGTAAGTAAGTAAGATAGCACATATAGTATATCTTGACATGTGCTTTAACAAGATAGCACATATAGTATATCTTGACATGCGCTTTAACAAAATAGCACATATAGTATATCTTGACATGCGCTTTAACAAGATAGCACATATAGTATATCTTGACATGTGCTTTAACAAGATAGCACATATAGTATATCTTGACATGCGCTTTAACAAGATAGCACATATAGTATATCTTGACATGCGCTTTAACAAGATAGCACATATAGTATATCTTGACATGCGCTTTAACAAGATAGCACATATAGTATATCTTGACATGCGCTTTAACAAGATAGCACATATAGTATATCTTGACATGCGCTTTAACAAGATAGCACATATAGTATATCTTGACATGCGCTTTAACAAGATAGCACATATAGTATATCTTGACATGCGCTTTAACAAGATAGCACATATAGTATATCTTGACATGCGCTTTAACAAGATAGCACATATAGTATATCTTGACATGCGCTTTAACAAGATAGCACATATAGTATATCTTGACATGCGCTTTAAGGGCCTTTTTTTTTTTAAATAATCAAGGGCAGCTGAAAAAAAGTTTTTTATTTCCCATTGTCTTTTTTATTTTTTCTTCCTTTGTTATAAAGATGATGGTTGAGACATTGTATTGTGGTTTACAGATGGGCTGCCATATTTGCACCTTTTTACCACATGCTTGTCAGGAAGCACCCCCCCCCCCCCTTTCCCTGTGGAGCTATGGTGCCCACACTGGGATAATTGTAAGGTAACTGTTGACAGACCACAAATAGATGAGGGATTGATACCAAGCATTCTCAACAGAATCATCAGTGCCTGGAGTAAACAAGGGAGTTACCTGTCAGATCAGATGCACCAGGTCATGTGGTGTTACAGAAGTTGAATATGGCTCTCACTCTGTCGGGAGATCCTTACGTAATTACCTTAAGTGAATGATGTAAAAGACCTTTTGATGCGTGTAACATGTTACAGTTCCTATTTACAAATGTTAACCCGTAAATTGGTTCTCATGATTTTCTCGCACTAGGGTTCTCTTCCCTAGTGATATATTAGGGTCACCTTCCCTAATATTTCAGGGGTGACGGCGGTCGCTCCGTTTCTGTTGTCTTCCCCAGGATAAATACCTCCGTGAGCGCATCAAGATTGATGGTAAAACTGGCAATTTTGGCAACAATGTGGTGCTAGAACTCCAGAAAAGCAAAATTTCCTTGACTAGCGAGATCCCTTTCTCAAAAAGGTAAGCACTCTAGATCTGTATATTTGTAGTTAGTCAGTGTCAGAGTGTTATTCTTTGGGAATCAGTTTAATACTGACAGAAGAAATGTCTAAGACTAGTGGAGGCATTAGAATAATCCTTCTTCATTTGCTCTTTATCCCCCAGTGAAGCATAGATTCTTAACTTACACCAGGTCATCCTATCCTTTGCTGTTGTATGCAGCTCACTTCCTGTCTTCTCTAACTTCTCTCTAGTACTCTTCTCCATGTGTGTGGATCTATCTTTATTTCTTTACTCTTGTGGGTTCCACTTTAAAACCTTTCTAGTTATAGTTTTCAGATTTTCATAGTATGTGTCATCAGCATCTTTTCTTCACCTCTTAATTGACTGGAATTTGTATATTCTTCCATTCCAGAGTTCAAATTTAGTGATTTTATCATACCATTTAATTATCTCAGTTCTGCGTAGGCACCAGTTTATACTGGTTTGACCCTTTACAAGTGTCATAAATTTATAGGATGTTTGTATGATGTTGTATTAGGCTGCAAGTTTTATGTTCATGTTTGCCCATGCTTCCTTTTCATTGTCCCTGCTGGTGGCTTTCAGATAAGGTATGCAGATCTCTGACAAGACTGGTGTGCAGATCTCTGCCTAGACCTGTGTGCAGATCTCTGCCTAGACTAGTGTGCAGATCTCTGCCTAGACTAGTGTGCAGATCTCTGCCTAGACTGGTGTGCAGATCTCTGCCAAGACTGGTGTGCAGATCTCTGCCTAGACTAGTGTGCAGATCTCTGCCTAGACTGGTGTGCAGATCTCTGCCTAGACCTGTGTGCAGATCTCTGCCTAGACTAGTGTGCAGATCTCTGCCTAGACTGGTGTGCAGATCTCTGCCTAGACCTGTGTGCAGATCTCTGCCTAGACTGGTATGCAGATCTCTGCCAAGATAGGTGTGCAGATCTCTGCCTAGACCTGTGTGCAGATCTCTGCCTAGACCTGTGTGCAGATCTCTGCCAAGACTGGTGTGCAGATCTCTGCCTAGACTGGTGTGCAGATCTCTGCCTAGACCTGTGTGCAGATCTCTGCCTAGACTAGTGTGCAGGTCTCTGCCTAGACTGGTGTGCAGATCTCTGCCAAGACTGGTGTGCAGATCTCTGCCAAGACTGGTGTGATGCATCTGCACTGATTTATACAGCTTGGTTTCTACTAGAATGTCAACTGTCTGGACCTAGAGTCTTTTTACTGCATGTAGAAAACATTTGCTCGGTTATTCTTTGGTGCCTGCCCACATTGGTAAATCTTGAATGTGATTTCTTTACGACTGCAGATTCTGTTCATTATCTTCTACTTTGATCACCGGCTGTAAGCTCTGGTTTCGCGTGTTCATCCCTTATCAACAATCAAACAGTAGGGGCTAGGGTTAGTTGGTGTTTCTTTTAATTAACAATAACTCTACAACTGATTTGTTCTAGGCATGTGATGCGTTGGTTGTTTCAGCGTGTTCATAGTTTATTTCCAATGTGTGTTACTTTTATTTGTCACCACATCAGTTCACCCCGTTTGTAAGTGGTTTTATTTCGTGACTTCACATTTACTGTGAATTTCCTTGTCCTGTCAGCATTCTTGCATCTAACTTGTGAGTATGCATATATTAAGTGAATTACAGAATACAGTGAGGTTCATTGTAGAGATGACCTTGCAGATAAAGATAATCTTTTTCGGGCGAAGGAGAGAATAAAAAGAGGAAGCTAACCCTAACCCCACACATACACACCCCACGTACACCGTAGGAGCTTTTAGGGAATTCCCTACCACATCTCACAGCTCTGAGATGTGAAAAGTAATGGTGCAGAGCTAATTAACACAATCTGTGCATATCGCTGACTTACAGAATTTGATTTTGTGAGCTCTAAAACTTGTTGAGATGTACACGGACTATAACTGGAGTGGCTTTAACAAATATTGATTGCTGTCTTCTGTCTAGGTACCTCAAATATCTGACTAAAAAGTACTTGAAGAAGAATAACCTCCGTGACTGGCTCCGAGTTGTGGCATCTTCCAAGGAGGCGTTTGAACTTCGCTACTTCCAGATTAACCAGGATGAGGAAGAGGAGGATGAGGATTAGTCCTATCTAAGCTGGCTTGTCAGATGAGACCCGAAAGCATGCAGGTTTATCAGTTTAGACCTGACATAATGTGAAGGTTTTTTCAGACCTCAAACCAATAAATGAATTGTGTTTGCTAGAGTCCTGGTGTTTCAGCTTAATGTGTGTACATTTGGTGAGGGGAGAGTATGGAATGGTTGCCTGAATTGACAATAGATAATTGGAAAGCTTCGAGATGCTTGAGGACCTGTCCTTCTGTAGAGGATAGTGAGCAGAAGATAAAAACCTGGGGCTTTTTCACACCCTAGTCTTGCACTCACAATCGAAAGCCATTCACATAATCAGAATGCTTTGCTTGGCATACCAGTTGTCATACCATGTACATGTTGTATAGGTGCATTTCTTGGGCGGGGTTGGAGAAAATAAACCCACTGTCACGCAAACAGGTGAGTCTGACAATTAAGTAATAAGACTAATTCCATAAAAATTAGAACAGTTGAAGATGCAAGTGGCACCATTTAACACACTGGAACGGCCTGTGTAGGTCTTCTGTTCTTATGGCCTAGTTGATGTACGGCCATTTGGATGTCATCAAAGAAGCATCCTATCAATGGCAACTTTAATTTTAAGAATATGAAAATGATTCACTAGGAGACAAATTTGGGGAATAGAATGGAGACTTGGGAACACGTACTTGTTTTGGGGCCAAAAATTCCTGTGTAACCCTTTGAGCCAGTGCATTGTCATGAAGGAGAGATATATTGCCAGGTGTTGAATACAGACTGGAAAGCAACTTCTTGTTTTCCCAAATCTTCCACTAAAATGTTACAAATAGTCTCTGTATTAACACCAAATTCACCTATCATCATCCTGACAGCCAAACAACGATCTTCTTTTATCCGTTCTCGGAATATTGCAATGAGTTCCTCATTACGAACAGAAATTGGGTGTCCAGGTCTAGTTGCATTTGTAATCATTTCCACACCACTTTTGAATCATGAATACCAGCTGAAAATCTGTGCACGAGATAATTATACCCATAAACTTATCACATCAATTCAACTGCCTCAATGGCACTTCTGAGTTTTAAACATAATTTAATAACAGCTTTTTTGCTCCATGCTGATTACCTAACAAAACACCTTTGACTAGGTTAACAAAATGGCGGCTTATTTGTTGTCTGCTTATCAGGCGGTGATGAATAAATGTCATATCACAGACGAAGGTTGCCTCTTCAGATTCCATGCTGTGTATCATAGATGGCATTTTTGTCTTAACCATAATAAAATCAGTCTCATTACTTGATTGTCGGATCTTGAAGAAGGCAACTAATTAGTTCTTCCTTTGAAGTCTTGAGCGCATCTGCCTGGAAGGTGGGTAATCTTCATGTCCATGAAGAATTCTTGCCACAAGGAGGCAAAACATCACAAACACTGACCTACTGAGAACATGTATCACCAGTTGTCTCAACTCTTAGATGGCTTGGTCATGGTCAGATGATGGTAGAGTTCATGGACATCCTCTGTGTGGATTACAGATGGCAGGATCAGCTTCTGCTCTTGATTTAAAGTGTAAAAGCAGGACATAAATGATTCTGGGCTTGAGGTAGATTCATGGCAGTATGATGTCACGGATCGCATTGTTCCAATATTTTTGCAAACATTTATCCAGTATGGAGATACCCCTGTATGGTTTGTTTGTCTCTTTTGTCCCGTTTTATTCTTCCAAATTGGGACTATGATTGCTCTCTGCCAGTCACTTGGAACTTTCATTGCCTTCCAAGCCATATTAAAGATTCTGGTCAACTAAGCAGTTGTTGTCTGCAAGGAATATTTCTATTGTAATATCATCTGTTCCTGCTTGCTTTTTTTTTTTACTTAGCTTAAGTGCAATTTTAGTCGTGGGGGGGGGGGGGGGGGTCATATGTGGATTAGGAAAAACTAAATCACACCACAGCAGTGTCCCACGAAACCGGGGGGGGGGGACGTTTCGCAGAAAGATTAAAGAGAATTCGAACAGCATCTTGTATTTATTCTGTGAGGCTGAAGTGCTCAGAATCGTGTTGATCAGAAAAATATCGATCTACAGTCATTCACCGCGTCTTCTCCGGCAGACGCAACATCTCTTATCCCATAACGTGAAATATATATTATTAAACACGATTCACTTGTTTGTGCTCCCCTTCCTGGCATTTTAAAGTTGACTCCAGGAGACATCACTCGCCTCTATTCATCTCTGCGACCGGCGTTCTCTTGCCAATGGTTGACTCCAGGACACATCACTCGCCTCTATTCATCTCTGCGACCGGCGTTCTCTAGCCAGTGGTTGACTCCAGGAGACATCACTTGCCTCTATTCATCTCTGCGACCGGCGTTCTCTTGCCAATGGTTGACTCCAGGACACATCACTCGCCTCTATTCATCTCTGCGACCGACGTTCTCTAGCCAGTGGTTGACTCCAGGAGACATCACACGCCTCTATTCATCTCTGCAACCGTCGTTCTCTTGCCAGTGGTTGACTCCAGGAGACATCACTCGCCTCTATTCATCTCTGCGACCGACGTTCTCTTGCCAGTGGTTGACTCCAGGAGACATCACACGCCTCTATTCATCTCTGCGACCGACGTTCTCTAGCCAGTGGTTGACTCCAGGAGACATCACACGCCTCTATTCATCTCTGCGACCGGCCTTCTCTTGCCAGTGGTTGACTCCAGGAGACATCACTCGCCTCTATTCATCTCTGCGACCGGCGTTCTCTTGCCAGTGGCTGAATCCAAATGTGTGTAAGGCTGCATGAATTTCAACTCTGTATTCTTGTTCATCACAAATCGAGACTTAGATGTTTAGTGACGAAATAAAGTATTGCATATCCTGCTCACATTATCTTGCAAACACCTATTACGATTCTAAGATGATTTTTAAAAAAAAAACAAGAAACGAAAACTACAATTTAAAAAAAAAAAAAGCCGTAAGAATGGAAGAAATGCACGTTTCTTTGCTTGAGCTGTGTGGGCAGGTAATACCTGAATCACGTGATCATACGCGCAAACTGGGTGTATGTGATAGGTGGTTCTCTCTCTCTCTCTCTCTCTCTCTCTCTCTCTCTCTCTCTCTCTCTCCTAAAGATAAGTTTGCGTAACTCATTTCCCTTCCAGACCTAGATTCCAGATATCTTGTTCTTTTAAAAAGTATGGGCTGCTTCAGTTGCCTGCAGCGTTGAGAGGCTGAATGCTCTGTCGAATCTGGCTAATGGCGGGATGAGAAGCTAAGCTGGTGTAGCGGTTACGGCAACGACATGCCGTTTCACTCCTTTGGGTTCGGTTCTCCAGTCAGGCAGGTGCTGATCTCTCCCGCGACAATATAAGTCGACGACAAAACAGCATTTTTATCTGCATTGGTTCCTCTGACCATCTTCCTGTGTAATTTGTGGGAGAGAGGACAGCCCACAACAACCGTGTCGTAAAGGGCTAATAATTATGTGTATTTCCTTTGAAGTCGAAGTTCATCGGCTATAGAGGCGAGGAAACAACAGTCTGCATACATATATGTAAAGCGTATTTGCACGTAAAACATGTTTTGGAGCAAATCTTAAGTCCAGAGGAGCCGGACTTAATAAAAATGACCTTAGCTCCTAGGTCTACCTAGCTTGAGTGGGTACCGGAAAGTAGAGGCGGCCGGCGTGATACTGACCACATCACCCATCTTGTGCCGATTGGTCTATAAAAAATATAGGTCTAGCCCTATATGCCTAAAGGCTTGGAAAAGGGTTCTTTACTTTTTTTTTCTTTAAATCAGAGTCCAGAAGTTTACATTGTCTTAGTAATCAAATCATTTTATGCGTTATCTAATGGTTGGCATCCATATTTATCATGAATCATTTGGATCAATTATAAGGACGTAGAGCACGAGGTAGACCAAGAACAAGATGGAAGGATAACATCAGAGAAACTCTACAACAGCACGATGTGCCTATGGTCGAGGCGGCCAGAAGAGCTAGAAACAGAACCTTATATCTTCCTCGACACCCACAGCGGTAAAAGAGGAAGGGAAGAAGAAGTTTGCCATTGCTTCTGGACGGTCGGCTTTCTTAATACTGCTGTCGAAACCAACGCAAGGAGCATGGCCCGCAGCTGAGATCGAACCTGGCATCCCGGCATTACGAAGCGTTCGCATCGACTTAGCCACAGAGCCGACACTTTTTTTGTTTATACACATAATAGATGATGATGTATTTGTGAATATTTGAAACCATTTCAAGTGGCAGGTCAATGCCGGTTGTCATGGCAGCGCAGCATGTCCCCATATTTACGGATCAACTCATAAGTAGGTATTGTAGTCACTTCAAAACATTCTGAACGTTTGAGGACTTGTGGGGGAAAAAACAACGGGGTGAGGCTTCCCTTTCACTCTATGTGGGATGCATGTAATACAGGCATGCCACTACAAAGAAAAAATTGGGGGTCCCTCAGAGTTCCTTTCCCCTCTTGCAACTTTTCTAGACAAATTATTGGGAAAAGTGGTGAATCTGCAACACTGACGAGACTACACGAACTCAACGTCAAAAGGGGTGAAGCCAGAAAAGAACGCTACACAGGGGCCCAAAGAAGAAGTCTAAACCAACACAGAACTGGTGTCATAAGCTACTACACGCTGAGGGAGATACTGCAGAGGGGATCAGAGCACTTATGAGCTGAATGGTTCGATGAGCGATGATGATAATCTGTCGACTAACTAAAGAAAGCATTTGATTGTGTGAAACATGATGAAATAAACAAACTACAGGACCAATTAAACATTGATATAAAAGAATTAGGAATGGTAAAGAAAATGTATTGGCGGCAGACAATAGGTTTAAAAATTAACAACCATTTGTGAAAATTTCAGAACTTAAAGAGGGGAGTACGACAAGGATCTAAATCTCTTTTTGTTTGGTCTGATATCCTTTCATGCGTATGTATTCAAATATTTTAAACCTACATTCTTACAGCTATGCACTTCTGTTTGCTCTGTCCCTATGTCTGT